AGGGGGTGGGGGAATGGGTTAGCCTGGTCATGGGTATTAAAGAGGGCAGGTATTGAATGGAGCACTGGGTGTTATATGCCAACAATGAATCATGGAACACTACATCAAAAACTAATGATGTAATGTATGGTGATTAACATAATAATTTAAAAAAATGCATTACATTTGAAAGTTGAGATAGTGTTCATCACAATGATAGCCGTAAAGATAGTAGTTTAATAGTGATTATGACTGCAATGCTAGTTCTGTGACAACTTATTTCATTTCTTCAATAAAAAGTTATCGAGTGCCTATGTCACAATTTGAGATTTATGTATTCATTTAATCCAAACTATGCATAAGTCAATGTGACTGATGAGGAAATATGCTAGCAATGATTCAGTCCATTAAAATAAAAAAATTTATTAACTAAACATTTATTTTTTTTAATTTTTTATTGTTATGTTAATCACCATACATTATATCATTTAACTAAACATTTATTGAGTGCCTATCATGTGCCAGGTACTATGCTAAGGATACAATGCAATTTATCATTTAGTAGGGATGGGGGACAGAGATCATTCAACCAATCATTTTATATATATATATATACATAATTTTATATATATATATATTTTTTAACGATTTATTTATTTATTTATTTTAGAGAGAGAGAGCATGAGTAGGAATAGCAAGGATAAAGACAGGGAGGTGCATTCCCATTAGGTAGATCCCAGACTACCCATGTGTGGAGGAAGCATGGACTTGAGGAACTAGAGAAGGATACTTATGTATATTAGGAATACAAAGCACTCAGTCAACACTACATACATTGCAAGGATATGTAAATACTTAAGAACATATAAGAAACACATTTAAAAGGGAGTGCCAATAGTAGGAACTGGAAGAGAATGGCCAAAAGCATTACAAATGAAGACAAAATAAACAATATTTAGAACAATAAATATTGTGTGCAATAAACTTTAACTGAAGGCTCTGCACTTGAGACTAAAAATGAAGAAATGAAAGAAAAATTATCATTATTCTCAGAGGTTAAAAATACATAATAGAGTCAGAGAAGGTCATCCATCTCAAAAACAGGATGAAAGCATGTGGACTAAAGCACTTCTAGAATCAGATGGAACATGAGTATTTTAAAGAGTTTCTCTCATGAACCTGAAACTCTAAAGAACTTCCATAGTTTGCCACCCTTATTTCTATGATGCCGAAGTTTTACTGATAGAGAAGGCCTATCAGCTCCCACAAACTGCCTATGTGTCAGTGTCATGATGGTGGGAAGTGGCCCATGTTCTCATATGTACAAATAGGCACCCAGTTCATCTTTCCCTGATCTTCTAAGTCACTTGTTCCAGGTCCACAGATGTCCTCATTGTTTCTTAATTCCTTGATGCATTTATCTCATCAACACAAGTAAATCATAAACTCTTAGAAGAAAGATGTATTCAAAAAAATTACTTGCTTGAGATACCCCAGCACTTCTGTTTTCCATCCCAATACCTAAACACTATATAGACCTCAGAAGAGATTTCCCAACTTCCAAACACACAAGAAAACTTCATTTGCTTTCTCTTGACTGTCCCTACCAGGTAAATGACCTGGGCTGTGGGGCTCCCACCCCATAGGGGAGGACCACCGTTGCCCTGAGATCCAGCTGATGAGAACTACACTCAGGTGGGCTCAATCTGCTTGGGCCTTAACATTTTAAACAGCTGCTCCTGGATCTGCTTGGTCTTGACTCCATAGACAATGGGGTCTAGTGCAGGGGGAAAGAGCAAGTAGAGATTGACAAGGATGACCTTAGCAGCAGAGGCTGTGGGTGGGCCAAAGCACTGCATGACCACAGAAAGAAAGCCTGGTCCATAGAAGAAGAGGATGACACAGACATGAGCCGTACATGTGCTGCCTGCTTTAGCAAGTGCCTCAGGTGAAGAAAAATGAATCACAGTCCTCACAATCTGTCCATAGGAATAAACAATAAAGGCTACATCACCCACACCAAGAAAGATTGCTACAGCAAAGGCATAGAGGTTATCCACAGTGGTGGCCCCACAGGCCAACTTTACTACTGTCATATGCTCACAGTAAGTATAGGCAATTGTGTGAGAGCCACAGTAGGGCAGCCGATGGGCCAAGCTTGGAAAGGAGATGGTCAACCCCACACCTCGCAGCACCACTTGGCCTCCAATCTTGGCAACAACCGGGGTAAGAATGGTTGCATAATGTAGTGGGTTACAGATGGCCACAAAATGGTCCATGGCCATGGCCACCAACACTCCTGACTCCATAGCAGAGAATGTATGGATGAAGAACATCTGGGAAAGACAGGAGTGGGAGCTGATAGCTGTAGCACCAAACCAGAAGATGGTCAGCATCTTAGGCAGAGTGGAGAGGGAGAGAACCAGGTCAACAAAGGAGAGCATGGCAAGAAAGAAAAACACGGGCCAATGAAGGCTGCGCTTGGTCCAGATAAGAAAAAGCAGAACACAATTCCCAGTCACTGCCAGGAAGAACATGAAGCAAAAGGGAAGTGAGATCCAAATGTGGGCAGCAGTCAGTCCTGGTATGCCAGCCAAGAAGAAAGTATGTGGGAAGTTATGAGAATTATTGGAAAGAATCATGGTGATCATCTCACTTAGAAGAGTGAAGGGCTACTGCAAAGAAAGGAGGCAAGTTAAATTCAGTGTATGTGGAGATCGGGAGCTCCAGATATATGGTCCTACTAACAACACTGTCACCATCACTCTTCCCCCATAGGTCTCAATAAACAGTCAAAAATAATTTTCAGTTTAGTTAATATTTCTGCAAGATCTTCAAACACAGAAGAGGCAAGTCAGCTTGGTCCCATGGGAAATGCATTGGGCAAGAAGTTCAGAAACCAGGTTCCGGAATTGAATATGCTAATAAATCTATGACCTGGAGCAATTTGACATAACCAGATTTAAGTAGATGCCCAGAAACTAATGTTAAAAAAAATTCCTTCCCATCATGCTCACATTCCCAAGTTCTGAATTCTGGACTGGATTTAATCAGCACTGACCTCACATGGTCCTTTAGTCTCATATCACTAACATTTATCTGAAACTGTCAAAAATCCTAACATCTGGAAACTCCCTTAGTTTGGAGATGTCACACTCCTCCAAACTTCACTTGACTGCCATGTTACAGACTAAATGGTCCCTGATGATGCCAAAATTGATTAGGTTCTTCCTGCAATTATTCTCCAATCATTTCACAAATGTGTATCTTGTTTCTCTCCCCAGAATCTCAATCCTGTATCTCCCTCTCCTTCAAGGTAGTGGTGTACAGAGGTAGACAGAAAGTTCAGATTTGTGGTGATCTGTAAAAAAAACAGAAGCTCTTGGTAATAACTGTCAGGTGAAAGCCAAAGAATTTTAAATCATGCCAAATTAATGAGAACAGAAGAAAAAAATGGGCAGACATTCCCTCCAGTTCCATTTCTCATGTAATCACAAAAAGTATACAAAATTATTCAGATCCACAATATATCCTGTGCCCAATACCATTGTTTTGTAGGTTAGAAAACTGAGGTCTAAAATGAAGTAAAATGGCCGAGGGTCACAGATCAATTTAGTGACAGAATCAGACAAGAGCTCACATCAAACCGATCCCGGATTCCCTAGCTAGGAAGTCATCACCCTCTCTGTGTGTTAGCAGTGACTGCTGCCCGGCCAAGGAAGAACATCCAGGGCTGGGTGGCCAAGGGTGTGCAGTAAAGGGATCAAATAGCAGGGCAGATAAGGAACAATTTAGGGAGTACAGGTCTTCCCAACACCCCTCAATACCTCCAGTGCCACAATTCTCTCATGTGAAAGAAAAACACAAGGAAACAGAGAGATCTAGGTCTAGGGTCTAAGAGGGCTTAGGATCATAAGATAAGGGATTCACATTCCAGGCAGAAAAGATGCAGCTGGGTTGATCTCACAATTCCAATGACAGAAATAAGTGGTCTCTAAGCATGAGGGAAAGAAGAGAAGTCAGCCAGGAGCATAATCCAAGAAAGAAGAAACAGCACAGCTTAAAGTGGCCAAGAATGTTTTGCTTTTCTCTCCAAGAGAAACTATGTGATTATTGCCCATACAGTCACCACAACCACTAAGGAGACTGTGTAACCTCAGCAGAAGGCATGAGAGCTGGGAAGATGGAGATTAGAGTAGACCAATAGTCCTCGTGTCCTGGAATAAACTCTGGACCAGGAGTCAAGGTCCTGATTTGAGGTACTATTCCTGCCATATGTCATCTCTGTGACTTGAAGGAAATCATCTAACCATTTCCAAGCCTTGGTTTCCTCACATGTGTAATGAATATACTAAAACCGATCTCACAGGATCATTGTGAGAATCCAATGAGATATAATATGTGAAAATCCTTTGTCAAGAGCTGAAAATAGTATATTATTTTCACTGAATTATAAAAAATAAATAACACATTTGGAGGAATCTGCTTACGAGCAACAGAAACTTCAGAGATTCAGAAGCAATGCATTTGATTTGATAAGGGATGATATATTCATCCAATGGGTGGCTATTATGTAGCCAGGACTAGGTTACTAACCCAAAGGCACATAGTCAAAAATACCATATCATCTCCAATATTGCTTCCCTCTTCCTTCCCAACCCCTCAGCACCCCCAGGGAACACTGCTGTGTGCGTTGGTGGTGGGGGAGGAGGGGTTGAATGGTGTCAAGAAATGTGGCTCTGACCACCTGAGCATCAGCTTCACATGATCCTCAAAGCTGCCCATCCTTAAGCCTCAGCCAGCCTTGTGGAACATGACAGTATCTTCAGAACAGTTTAAGAAATAATTACCTCTAATGCCCCTCAGGACCCAGCAAATGTCCCTCATTATAACCTTGTGCCTCAAGGAAAAGTATGACCCAGTAAGCTCAGCTCCTTTACTTCCATAAGGGAAGGTTAAGGGAGGGAGGGGGTCCTGGAACCAGAAGAATCTAGGACACAGATTGAGGTGTCTCCATAAATGTTTCCCTATGACTCACTCTGTGGGTTTCAAAGAGGAACAGACTTACAAATAGCTTACCATTGAGCCAGGACTAGAAAGATGTTTGCCTGCTTGGGAGTAAGTAATTCTCACACACCTGATACTTCCCTTGCCTGTGTCTGTATAACACAAAAGGTCCAAATAGACTTTTGATGATCTACACATCATCAGTACTGGTGGTATTTCCAATTTTTCCCAGTGATATCAAGACCATGCTTTTCCACCCCAGACAGTCTATCAGATTATCCAGATCTGGGAAGGTTGGTGAAAAGTTAATTTGTGGATGAAGCCTGTATGTATCTCTCTTCCTTGGGCCTACCCTTAGCCACTACTCACCAAAGAGCTGCACTGTTTAACCTACAGAAGGATGAGAAGAAGTTAAGCTACCAGTCAAGTTCCAAGAACAGGGTATTTAATGGGCATCTTTTCAGGCATTGCCTATAGGGATCCAAAATGAAGCTCCCACCACCCAGACACCAATTAGTACTTCTGCCTCTTCTTCAGACAAACGTTCAACAAGGTCTCTTCTTCTTACTAGGATCCCAGGGAACAGCCCCAGCAGAGAATATTTTGAATACTCCAGGGTGCCATGTCAAGAGAGGCCTTGCATCCAGAAACAAAATAAAGCTTTCTGCCATAGGGAGTGGGGACTACCTGATTTGATGGCAAGCATGATCTTATCTAGAGTGTGTGAGAAAGAAGGCAGGGATGGGGAGGGCCAACACCAGGACCAACATACAACATTACCTAAATGACCCCCCCCCCATGATATAGGTGGAACCATGAGAGGAAGAATGGATTAATAAGTAGAAGACTTTATGAGAAAGGATAACCTGCCCAGGGAATAAGAGTGAAGATAATGTCAAATACCTGAACTCAAAATGGTAGGTACAAGGGTATGCCAAGTCTTGTAGGTACTACCATCCATATATTATCTCACCTTAAGTGAAATTACCTACAACTCTGTCCCTTCTTAACCAATCTCTCTACATTTGATTCTCATCTCAGCCACCAAAATCACTCTTGAAAATGGTGCCAGGTTAATCTATGGGAGGATATTCAAGATTATGAAGGATCTGATTGAGAGGGATTTGATGGATTAAGAAGGATTCAAAAAATTGAGTGTGTACAGCTTACACAAGAGAACACTTGTGGTGACATACAAGATTTTTCATGGATTCTTCAAGTCCAGGAAGAAAGTCCCTGCAGGGGAAAAATTATTTGTTTTGTAAAGCCAAAGTAAAAAAAAACAAGAACAAATCCATGCAAATTTATGGTTCAGGACTCAGTAAGACCTGTGTCTTTAGAATGATGCTCCCTTATCAGAAAGACAAAGGGCAACATAGACTATATGGGAAGGGAACAGCACAAGGTTTATTGGTAAGGGTCAGTACCCAAATCAGGTCATCCATTTCTGAGAGCCATGCTCTAAGGGTACCAAACCAGTTCCAGAGGGAAGAAGACATAGCAGGTGTCATTTCAGGTAGAGCCAAGATTAGGAATCCTAATATGAAACACTCAGTTTCCTAACACAGAAGTCAAGTTGCATAACAGTGAGCTTAGAGCAGAAGATGCTATGATGTCTCTGAAACTGCAGAGAGGTATTATGAAGCAGAAAATACCAGCCCAGAGCCCCAGTGGAGGAGGAAGGAGTAGGCAGAACAAGTAGCAAGAGCAACATCAAGTCCAGTCTAAGAGGCACTGGTAACAGACACAGTAACTCAGGCCCAGGAAATAAAGAAAAGTCTCAGAATTAGAACTCTAGATTAGTGTGACTATGGACTGCTTGACTGAAACTCTGAACTTTCGCCTAAAGTCAGAAACCGTGTAAAATATCAAGAGAATGGAATTGGTTAAAGCTCCAAAAATAGTCAAGAGGACTGGGATCAATAATTTGTATCAAAAAAATATATTTCCTGAGTTCCCCTTAAGGTTGTGGAAAGAAATTCAGAGATTTTAAACACGGTCAAGTGGAAGATACACATCAAACCAAGGCGAAGCACCACCAAAGTCAAAGCAGAGGCATACACAGGGATTTGTGGCCACACCATGGAGAGATGGGAACACCTGGAGAGAGAGCATCTAATTATACCTGTGGAGATCAGGGTAGGCTTCACAAATAAGGCAACATTAAAGAGGAAAGTTGAAGGGTGGAATAGAATATTCCAGAATGACTCACTAGCCCTAAAAGGGACTCCAAATTCATAAAGTATGGAATTTTGGATAAACAGCTAAGAGATCAATATTGAGAGAACAGTGCAGAGGGATGAGGTTTGAGAGGAAGGTTGGACCCAGACTGTGGCAAGTCTTGAGTGCTCTGCCCCACAGCCCTACATGTTAATAAGAGGGCAGTGGTGCAGATTGATTCATGCTTAAATAGGTTTCTTTCACAGTGTTCTAGGCATAAGAAGATGATATGATATTAGAGTGGGTAAGAATTGATGAAAATCTGGAAGAAAGCAGTGGCAATGGGGTAAAATGGAGGAAATTGGATCAAGTCTTTACTGGCAAATTCTATCAAACTTTTAAGAAAGAAACAATGACAATCCTTACAATAGAAATAGCAATGCAAACTTTTAGAAAACAAGGGAAGAGGGAACAC